TCTGTTGTTTCCAATCATTGTTTAAGCAAGGTTCTTAGTTGGTAAATATGTGCAATAACGTCGTAGTGATATTGTTTTGCAATATACAATCTATGGTCTACAGTCTTGTACGTATGTACAAGCTACTTATGATGCACATTCATTCATCATTCAGTGAGGTTTTGAAAGCTTACAGGTTCCTGGGTAACGAGAACATCTGAATCATCAAACTACCAACTTTGTGTACCAGGATGGAACAATTTTCATCCAGTTTTCTTTGCAAATGTGCTCAAGTTCTGTGAAGTTGCAGGGGATCACTGATGGACAACAATTTTTAAGTTTTGCCCCAGATTGTCTATCAAATGAAATCAGGCCATTGACTGGGCCAGTTAAGTACTTTCACTTTCATGTTAAGCCTTTCCTGTGTAGTTTTGATCTTTAGATTATTGTCTGCTGAAAGGTGTGTCTTCATTCAGTTTTAGGCTTTTAGCAGGTTAAAGAAGATTTTCCTCTAAGATTTGCCAATAAGAAGCAGCTCCATAACATAAAGCCACCAACATTCTTGACAGTAGGGATAGGTTTTAACAAGTTATGTGCTATGTTGGGTGTGTCAGATGTAACACTTTGTATTTAGACCAAAAATTCAAATTTTATCTCTTTTGACCACAACATAATTTGCCACACTGTTACAGTATCATTTAAATGCTTTGATGCAAACTGTCTCAATTATTCTTCAGTCGGGTGGATTGAAACTTCAGTGGCTTTTCATGGGTAGTCATACAGTCCTGGAAGACTGTACGGCCCCATTTCCTAGAGCGTGGAAACAGTATTATGCTCTGAAGTTGAGTGGGCTACATGCTGAGAGCTGAGGCTCTTTTGTTCCGGTCAACATTGCCAATTACCCTCACCCTTCTCCCCTGAAGCAGCCCGCACTTTCAAACACCCCGCATCACCATTGCAGCCTTCACTGCAGCTCCGTCTCCAAATCATCACTCGGCACTGCAGCTCTGGTTCCAAGGCTTCACTCCTCTCTGCACTCTGCTTTGCACTCCAGTCTGCACGGTGGTCCCTGGCCTTCACTCTGGAACCCTGGACTCTATCCCACTGGCCTCCTCTTCACTGTTGGTCATTCGACTCACTTCAGGGAGTAGCCTCTGTTGTCCAGAACCTCAGGGCTGTCTCTGTGCAGTCATCTTCTCTCAGACTAGCAGCCCTGTTCCTGTCCCAGAGAGTCCTGTTCCCTGGTCTTTTCTTTCACTGCCCTTATCTCTGCCGCCTTTCTAGCTTCTCTTCTGGGCAGCCCTTCTCTAGTTCTTCGGGGCTCTTTCCTTTTTCTTAGCCCTCTTTTCTCTGGCTGTTGGGTCACTTTTCTTTTTTTTTCCTTTCCAGCAGAGCCTTCTCCTTTTCTTTCTAGGGAGCCAGGCATTAGGAATGTGGTTCGAAGCTTAGTGAATGACACCATGTTAGCCTGATCTCCCTGAGGGTTATTATGTTCTCAGACTCTGACTGGGAGAGTCCCAAGCAGCTGTGCTCACTTGGGGATCTGGAAGATGAAAGGGGACAAAAGATGGGTTACCTTGTCACCCGCTCCTAGCAGATGTCTCCCCTGTTGATCCAAAGGGCACCTGGGTATCACTCCCATTCTTATCTGGGCACTTCCATCAGAATGAGGGACCTGGTAGACCATGTTGAGAGCGCACTCCTGGCCTGGTCTCGGAGGAGACCCCCTTTTAGGGCATGTGCCTTGAATCACTGGCTCCAGAGCCTTCCAACTGGACCACCGAGTGGGTTTTCCTGTCTCACCAGTATTGTGTGCAACCTCACAGTGAAGCCTTCACAGTGAACCTGGTGGGTTCTATCTAAATAGCATGCCACTCTGCCACTCTGTGCGCCCCTTTTACCCAGGAGCTTGGTAACAGCTTTGAGCAACACCCAGTGCTCTGAGGCTCACTGATTCTGGTTGGCAGGCTGAGTTGGGCAGTTTGAATGAAGTCAGATTTTCTTCTTTCTTGCCAGGGAATCAGAGAGCAGGTGTTTCCTCAGACCCATGATCCTCACCTGTTCATTTTCTGAGCAGACCAGCCAGGGCAGTCCTTGCTTTGTTGGCCAGCTGTCCTTATTATTTTTTCAGTTGTCTTTATTATTGATTCGCTGAAATTTCCTCCGCATCAGTCTGCCAGTCCGCCTGTCTGCACTACTCAAGAGGGCTGTCCACCAGACCAATGTGGTCTCTCTTTTTTGGGGGGGAGCTCTGCAGCTGAGAGAGTGACACCCCAAGATCATTATTCCCTGATAATGATCGACAGCTGAGGTGGGCAGTTTCTCTGAAGGTTGGCAGTTCACCACTTCACCCTTTCTTCTTTTCTTGTGGGATGTGGACAGTCAGCTTCTCTACAGACTGTCATGTCTTGTTACTGACTGACTAGGGCTGACAAAGATCTGACGGATAGTATTCAATTATTTTATTAGCACTCTCTTTCACTTCACTTTCCTTCCATCCCAGAGTGCTGGAACCCCAACCAGTCAAGCCTCTTCGGGCAGTTCTGCAGCTCTCTGGTTTCTTGTGCTTGGGTTTAATCCAATCACCACAAATGCGGCTGTATTCAGCCATGTTGTAACAGCACATTTTTAAGAGAATTTTAATCAAGTTAATTTAAAAATGTTAATTTAAAATTGCACATTGTTCTATTAAGACCCTATTCAGTGTATTTGTTTGTCAACATATACAGATTGGTTCCAACGAAGAGCAAATAAATGCCGTACATGGTCAGGCCCTAAGATGCAAGAGAAATTGAGTCTCAGTTCTGAATTGGAAAGATTATGAGGAAATCGAGGAAGTATTTCATTGATATTGACAACATGTCAGAGTAAATAATAACAGACCAGAGAAAACAAATGGAAACTAATAGTAATATAAAACCAAAATATAAAATAAAAATATAAAACTGAGAACAAGACTTTGTGTACTTTTATACACATAGTGTTTGAAGAATCTGGAATAAGTTATTCTGCCATGTTGTTGAAGCTGATACTCTACTTTTGTTAATAAGTAGTTGGATAAGATCCTGAAATCAATTAGCAATCAAACAGACTTGAAAGGCTGAATAGCCTTGGTCTAACCTTTCTTATGGTCCTATGTTCCATGGCATCATTGAAGTTTCTTCCACACTAAAAGTTTCTGAACCTTACCTAGTAATAATCATTTGGTTCCTTGGTTGCAATAAAGGATTTGAGAAACCATTATTGACAGTCTCAGTTGCATATTTTAGTAACAGATGTTGTTGGACATGTAAGCATGCATTACACAGGAAAATGAAAACTCTACTGGCATACTGTATGGCAACTTTCTTAAAATTGCAAACATAAAAAATAGGACCATCTCATAGCAATGCCTGAGTAGAAGACTTCTAACTCTATGCTCATACTTTTAGAACCTTCACAAATCAGAGAATTCAACCAAACATATTTAAGAAATGACTCAGAAAAACAGGAAAGAAAAACACATTATAGAAACATGGCCCATCTGACAGATCTATTAACAGTGCTGTCAGATGCTTTGTGATTAACTCCCATGGGGAGCTTGTCTTCCTATTTTCCATAGCTAGGAACTGACAACAGAAATTCACTCAAGCAGCACAGACCACAACAGCCCATCTGGCAAGTACAATGGTTAGTAAATATCTTACTGCCAGATCTAAACAGGCCATCAAAAAACTGAGACTTTCTGCCATTTTTAGCTTTATCTGTCCAATACAAAAAGCTTGCTAAAGAGGCAGAGATCAACTCACTAGGAGAGGCAAGGCACCACCAAATTATAGCAATTCAAAAGCTTTAACTAAAGGACATTCTTACAATTCTGTTATTGCACCATATAATTTTAATATTTTCTGTTTGGATTAGCTGATTTCAAGATCAGGTATATTTGATCAGATAAGATCTGGTAAAATTATTATTAGATAAGCAATTTGATATATTACAAAGCAAAGATACAGAAACTAAAATCCAATGTCATAATGCTAATATGATTGATTTTCTTGTGTGAGTGGAGTATCTTTTGGAGGAAAAATCAATTTAGTCAAGTATGCTTTATAAATATGGATACAGATCTAACTCAGGTAATGGTATTGATCATAGTGTGTGTGAATTTTCCTCCCTGCACCTTTTAGGTCTAATCTAAAAAAATAATAACCATGTGCTATTTCACAAGGGATTTGCTTTCGGGTTCCTGACCCTTAAAAACTGCTGATTTATTCTAAATAACTTTCCAATGAAAATGTGTATATTTCCAATAAATTGTATTATATGTCATGTCACACTGTATAGCCAGCAACCATATTACCCTGCAACTCACAACTGGCAGCCCAATGAAGCTAAGCAGGTGTGAGCCTGGTCAGTACCTGGATAGGAGACCTCCTGGGAAAAACTATGGTTGCTGCTGGAAGTGGTGTTAGTGGGACCAGTAGTGGGCGCTCACCCTGTGGTCTGTGTGGCTCCTAATGCCCAAGTATAGAGACAGGGACACTATAAAGTAAAAAGTGCTGTTCTTTGGTTGAGATGTAAAACCAAGGTCCTGACGCTCTTTGGTCATTAAAAATCCCAGGGTGTTTGTCAAAATGAGTAGGGGTGTAACCCCGGCATTCTGTCCAAATTTTCCATTGGCCTTTACCAAGCATGGCATCCTTATAATCCCCATCTGTGAACTGGCTTCATCACTCTGTTCTCCTCCTCACTGATAGCTGGTGTGTGGTGAGCATACTGGCACACTATGGCTGCTGTCTCATCACCCAGCTGAACATTGGTGGTGGTTGAGGGTAGACCCCGTTACCTGTAAAGTGCTTTGAGTAGAGTGTCCAGAAAAGTGCTATATAAGTGTAAGGATTTATTTTTATATCTGAAAATTATGTTCTGTAGTTAAATGTGAAAAACAAAAAAGTAAATAACCTCTGAGGGGTTGTACAGTATAGTAAACAGTGTTTCAAATTTCTAAGTGGTAATTTTATCTGAGCTGATTATCTACTTACTTTGATGTGTTTTCCAGTATTCCTTTTACTTCTCCCACTTGATCTCTTCCAAAGTATACCACTGTGAGATGAATCCTTCCATCCTTGCGAATGCAAACCTCCCTGTAACAGGAAGAGGAAACATTTTAGGCCCTCCCAACAAAACAATGTCTACTGAAACTCAGAAACCCAGAAACGTTTACCCCATGTCAGTATACATTTAGGACTTTTATGTGTTCAAAAGACCACTTGTACTCATGTGACACATTTCATCTTTACAAAACTATATGGAATTTATAACAAAAGTTCAGGAGGGATGACAACAACCAAACTCAATCAGACTCAGCTGTCAGTAATCGCTGAGTAATCTTTCCCAAATGCTATAAATACCTACGAAATCCCTATCTCCCTCTCTTGCACGTCTCTTGCATGAGCCTCGCTGTCTAGCGTGCATCTTTGCATAGACGGTACTAAGATGCTGCCTACACCATTCAATCAATATTCTTGTTTGCTTCTCCAATGCACAGTTGATCTCAGCCAGAAGCCGCAGATTTTCTCGTTCTCCGCGTACCAGCTAGCCATTGATCTGACTCTTTGTCGCTTTTCAACATCTGCAGGTCATGCCTTTCCCAAGACCGGGATCCGCCGTTGCTAACCTGTCTATTCGAAACACCTAGCATTTGACTAACCAGTTACTTTTCCAGTTAAAACAAAATGGGCTGCTCTCGGTAAATGCATTTTCGCCGCCACGTTTGCAAATCTCCCATTCGAAACCTTCCCTCCTGTTATCACCTGGACATTAGCAAGTCACTAAACTACATTTAAACAGCTTTCATTCAGAACGTATATAGGAATATTACTTGTTTTCCTATCAAAGATTGTAACTCATGCAGCCTCCATGGGTTGCAAGAGCTGGCTTACCAGTGCAGTGACGTCACCGCCCCTCCCTGTGAATAGCAGGGACCGCTGCCGCTGGGCTGAGGGAAGATTTCCCTTCGGCTCAAGAGGCTGGGTCCTTTTAATCTCACTTTTCTCCTGTGCATTTAACTTAATCTTGTGTCCCTATTCCTGGTGTTCAATTCAGCTCCGGGTTCCCGTCTCTGCTGCTACTGCGACCATCTTCTCGGTCCCGGGTTGTTCCGGCCCAGTCAGCAGTTGTCTTGTGTCAACATACCTGGCGTTCAATTCAACCCCAGGTTCCTATTTCTGCTGCTACTGCAGCCATCTCCTCGTCCTAAGCAACTTGCCTAGGTCTTCAGAAGCCTTCCTTCTTTACATACAGTAACCCTAAACAAACTCTCCCCAAGCTGCTTTTCAACCTCTGCGATGACCCACAGTTCACACCATGAATTCTTCTCACCTCCTCCATGCTTCATAATTCTACATTGGTGGTTTGGTGTCCCGCTTGTTTCTTTTGGGGGTCCTGGTCTCATTGTCCTATGGCCGGAAGGCCAGCCCTCAGCCAAGCGGCTTAAGCCACAATTTCGCTCTATGACGCTGTCATCTTGGGTGTTTGTCATTCCTCAAGAAATGGAGTTTATAACAAAAGTTCGGGAAGGATGACAACAACCACGATCAATCAGACTCAGCTGTCAGTAATTAGTAATAGCTTCTGACAATCTATTCCTCTCCCAAATGCTATAAATACCTACAACATCCCTATCTCTCTCTCTCTTGCACGTTTCTTGCATCCCAAATCCACCCCATCTCCTCCTCTGCAGCTGCCCCTTGGTCACCCTGCATGGGGGTCCTGGTCTCCTTGTCCTATGGCTGGGATTCCAGCCCTCAGCAAAGCATTTAAGCCACAATTTCGCTCCATGATGCTTTCATCTTGGGTGTTTGTCATTCCTCGTGAAATGAAGTTACATTCTGGATTTAGAGCTGCTTTTAGCCCTTACTAGTAGAACTACTTTTTTCAGCTCATTATAGTCCCATAGTATGTTTCACTGATGTTGCCTTGATGTTGAGATTATTTTCTTTAACCATTTTTCACTGCTTTTTTGCAGTATTGGATTCTTGATTCGTCTGTTTGTGCTTCCGATCAGTTTTATATCACTGCATATGTGCAATGTTAACAACAATACGATGTACCAAAGTTGTACCCCAGCTCTCGAAATGCTCCCTGTAGCACAATATGGGTGTGAACAGTGCCTTACCAGGGAACATTACCACATACCAGGGGGTATTCTTTTGAAAACCTTTGAGAAGGGACCAGTCAAGAAGATGGGGAGATATGAGGGGCAGCAAAATTATTTGGCAGACTTCCAAAAAATAATCACCTTTTTCTAAGAAATTGATTGATAACACAGGAAAATAGTTACAGGAAGACTTCAGGATGGAGATACAACAACCTGCATTTACTGTACATGTAAAACTGTTTGTTGGGTTCCTAAACTGATTTTATTGTTTGCTATTTAGTTTATAGTATATGCATATTGTGATTGATGAAGTGTCAAAAAACTATAGAGTACTGATATTATTATTTTACTCCAGTTGTCACAGCTTAGACAAAAGTGGATAATATAGTTGCTTATGACGATTAACAGCTATAACTTCTAATAATGAATTTTAAACTTTGTGTAATAAAGACGTAATGTAATGTAAGTGACAAGCAATTAGGCTCTAAAATCCAAACAAACTATGTAATGTTTTCCAAACTTCTTGAAAATTTTGTATGCTTAATTTAGGCTTTTGTGTCAAAAGCCATCAACTCTTGCGAATCAATATTATCGTTATTACCCTGTGCTATTTTTCTACTGATTCTAATTTTCATGCTAGTTGCCTGCCAACTAATAAGTAAATAGAATAATAGACATGCTATAAATGCAATAAGTACTCACCATTTGCCATGCATTGTAATGTCCAGATTATTGTCATTTAATAGTGTGTAGGTCCTGTATCTGTTTTGTCCTCTTTTCATAAGAACTTGCATAAAAACAAAAGAAAGACTGCAAATGAGAGGCAGTCATTCTGCTCATCCAGCTTGTTTGGTTTTAAAGCAGGCCTGCCCTAAGCCTTACTGTTTTATACATAATGGGTACTTTTTTTCCTTTTTTTTGCACATGTACTGTATACATTGCCAAAAATTGCACCCTGTGCTCCTTTAATGAGAATCTAAGTCCAATCTTTTTTGACACGCCAGCTTGTTGAAGCCATTCACCATTCCACCAAATGAGTAGCAGCTCTCCTCAATGTCACTAAAATCCCTAGGGCCTCTAGCCATGACAGGGATCACTCTGACATGGCAAGTGTAGGCAATAGTGGAATCCATATAGCACTATATGGGCTATGAACAGACTGTAGTCGCCTTGAAACCAGCAGCACTCCGTCTGATGTGCACTGCTGCTTGTTAAATCCCAGTCACAGCTCACTAATGACACAGCCCAGGCTAAAAGCAATGAAGACTAAATTTGAAATTTTCTATTGTTTTAGGAAACCTGCAGAAGTGTTTACTAATCAAATCTTTTTTTTTACCTCTCCACAAAGCCACTGGCTAATGACCTCTGAAAAGGCTGCTCTTCTCCAGAAGTTCTACCTCAAAAATCACAACACTTCTGAGATGCATTCTTCGGCAGTTAGTGATTCCTTCTAATTGATTTTACAATGTCATCCTTTAGGAAAAACACTTAGAGAATCATTTCAAATAATGTTGAAGATCATGGTAAGGCGCTAGTATAGAGCTACAAAACAGTTTGATTTTGTATTTGTGATTTGTGGTGCAGAATACAATTTGGATCGCAGAACTGTAACAATGTTACACTGGCACTGGCATCATTTTTCTTTGTACATACACTTCCCACAGACCTCCACAGTAAAACACAAAGAGAAAGCACCAATATTTAACCTCTGTGTTCTAAAGATGGTTTGAATAAAACTATGGATATAGATTTCATCATTCTGGACTTGAAGTCAGTTTTTAAAACATCACAAAACAGAACGGCAATCTTATTAAAGAGGCAAATATTTATCATATATAATTCTGTTATGCTTGCTTAGTAAACTGTGTTTTTTTTGCTAAGCACAATGTTCTTACTATGTCTGAGATGATGTCACACTGAGAGTAAATGTTTTTCAATTATAAAGGCTAAGTGCCTGGCAGAACCCAGCGGAAGTAAAATTGTTGAAGGATCAGAGATGTCTGCTATTATCGAACAGCAGTCAGGGGAAGGTTATAAGGAGCTTTACAGAGTTGTCACAGCAGGATGAACTGCTGTAGCTTAAAAAGTATAATTACAAAACAGCACATTTCACTCTTTGCAAATGTTTTGGAGTATGTTCAACATTTTTCAGTCATTAAAATGCAGTATTCACTTCAATTGAATTGAGATCTATTATCCTCAGGCAAGGATGTACCTATGACTGTCCATCAGTCTGGACAGTGTAGCTTTATTCAACACTAAGTTTTTTTTATGTAGAATTGCATTTTTTCCAATTTTATATTCAAATTAAATGTGGATCATAAGAACCCCTTCCAAAGTGTCCTGTGATACTACCTGTACAGTGATATGCAAGCAGAACGTCAAAATACCTTAGCTAGGTTCAAACAATGAGTAACAACCAAGACAATTATGCAAATATGCATGTATGAAAGCAAAATGGATGAAAATAAGCTTATATATTCCTATAAAAACAGTGCCATACGTTATTCATAACGTGAAAAAACATTATGCAACATCTTGCAAAAATTATTTTCTCTGGGAATAAATGCATATGTGGTAGGGTACAGACAGAGAAGCTTAATGTTATAGGCTGGATTGAAGCAGAGACCTGCAGGCTATAGGAATCACTCTGCAGTCAAACAGATGCTTTTATTTAATGAGCCTCCCTAGCACTTTTCATTAAGCACAAGAACCTCAATGAGGAAGACATATCCAGGAATGAACTTCGCTTAATCATGTGACACTGCACTACAGAAGCTGAAGATAAACTGGTTATTAGAAATAAAACAAATGTAAATGAGATAAATAAGGATATAAAAATGTACTTTTATTCCTTTGAGTTCCTTTTGTAAATTGTCCCATTATTGCAATGATTTGGTTTGCTATGGAGTTTCAGTTCTCTACATTTAAAGTTATTGCACATTATATGTAGCACATAACAATGAATTCTAATATAGAATCAAGAAGCAATTTCAAAATATTTTTGTTGATTAATTGATGTTGTGTTTGATAAAATTATAAATTAAAATGAAGTTATGGCCCTAGAAATGTAAGGCCATAGAAAAAGCATACTTTTAAGTACGCAGGAAAGACACACAAATGCTCTGTTCAACGAGGAAATTGGGATAAATGCAAAACCTCCTGAAGATCTCTGTCTTAAAAATATTTAGGTGGGTTTCAGCTACTCTGTGAAATTCCCTGCCTTAAGACAAAACACATTCTGAGGGGCACCTGAAGAATTTCACACACTGATGAAAACTATTCTTTCACTCATTTGCAATCAAGCTGAGGGCTCTACTGTAAATGGTTGTAGGTGCATTAAAAATTATTAACGAAAAGAAATTCCTTAACATAAAACCCAACTTCATGAAAGGTCTCATTGATAATACATTTTATATAGATCCCTTTGTGACTTTTCAAGAGGGAGATAAAGACTTTTTAGAACAATACATCATTGTGTTTTATGACAATAAAAATGATTTACATACAAAATCTTTTGACTGTTGAGTTTCTTTCAACAAAGGTCATGCACAAAAATTCAGACAAAGTGAAATGGTTAACTTGGGAAAACAGATGATGATAACACGTTCTGGGCGGAGCGGTGGCTCTGTGGCTAAGGATCTGCGCCTGTGACTGGAAGGTTGCCTGTTCAAAT